GTCAACCTTTCTCAGAAATAGAAAATATGGAAACCCTATCACAACAAGCTAGAAAAAAACATAAACGATATATTTTTACGTTAATGATTTACTATCCAATTTTAAAATTTAAAATATGTTGAAATTAGTGTTATTCAAATGTTCAAAAGTTACACTTGAAAATAATGCTTTATTGAAATGAAAGTATATATATATATATATATATATATATATATATATATATATATATATATATATATATATATATATATATATAAGAAAGTCCGACGAAATATATAAGAAGGGTTTAATCCATGCGTTACTATTCCTATATTCTTAGACTCGTGACTTTGTTTTTCTAAAAGTGAGTTGTTTAAATGTAAACAATGACTGCGCTTGGATCATAAATATCGGGACACGGGTTTACTTACACTACCGCATGAAAACCTTGAGTGTACATTAGTCACTCACCGAAATAATGAGGTAGAACACACTACGGTGACCGCCCATGTGTCAGGGACGTAGAGTGGCGCTCTCAGGAGCAACCCAACCCCCCCCCCCCCCGATTACACTGCTGCGTACGGCCCCTGGCTCCTTAAAACTAACAAGCGCTAACGTGCCAAATAGCATCCTATTAACAATGATGCAGATTGCGTCATTCGCTGAAGTGACACAAATGAACAGGAGTTTTTCTTTAACACTCCGGGGAAGGGTTCTGTAAAAAAATCATTTTTATTTTCGCAAGGGTGGCGCCACAGGAGGGTGCGATTTTCTCTATATACGGTATATAAAAATAAACGTCGATCGCGGTTTCACGGCGTTATTCCGATCGCCATTAAACATTGAGGAGTTTATTAGAACACTCCAGGGAAGGTTTCTGTAAAAAAATAGTTTTAATTTCACAAGGGCGGCGCCACGGGAGGGTGCGATTTTTCTCTATGTACGGTATATAAAAAATAGAAGTCGATTTTGTTTTGACACCGTTCATCCGATAGGCATTAGGCTTTGGGGAGTGGATTAGATTACTACCCGGAAGGGTTCTGCAAAAAAAAAATTTCTCCGCGGGAGGGTGCGATTTTTCTCTATATACGTTATATAAAAATAAAAGACGATTGCTGTGTGACACAGTTTTTCCCGGTGCCATACAACTTTAGGGAGTTGATGAAATAATCCCGAAAAGGTTTCTTGGGTTGGAGGGGGGGGGGTGGTGGTGGGAGGGTGATTTAATTTTGCATGGGCGGCCCCCCGGCAGAATGCGATTTGGCGCCCTGTTCTTAGCCGTGAGCGCTATGGCGAATACGTTCGGTCTAAACAGTGTGATAGGGGATAGAGAATGGATAGGATGGAACGTTATAAATATTCACTAAATTGAATCAGGCGTGTCCGCTGGCGCCCTGGTAGAGTGCGATTTGGCTGCAAACAAAAATTTCAGTTTTGGCCCCCAAAGACTCACATGGGCCGCTGAGTGCCATGTAATACGTTTTATTTTAAAAATCAGAAAAATTAACGAAGGTTAGATTATTAACTGGGATGTTTCTTTTTGTCCGTAAAAAATCCAAACAGATTCGGACTTTATATATATATATATATATATATATATATATATATATATATATATATATATATATATATATATATATAATGAGCAACAGTAAAAATCAAGGATACGCCTTAATACCAGATACAAATGTCGTTATCCAAGTACTATCTATCACTATTGTATACAAAAGGAAGATGATGAGTCCTTGCCATAGTGTTTATCGACACAAAAATGACATTTAGCGAAAGAGGTAGGCCTATATGGTTTCAAATACTATACCGAATAAAAACAGTCAGAGGAGTTATTTATAATGCGAATACGTGATGGCTGATATAATAAATAGATGTTTACATTGCTTGTTCCTATTTATTTAAATTCTAACTTACATACGTTTCAACCGTATGCTATTGTATTTCGAAAACATGAAAAGAAATTTTAAAATTTAATTTTCATGAAATCCAAAAATTGATAAGACACAGAAGTAGACTTGGACCTGTACGACAGTCAATGTTACGCTAAAGCACTAAAAGCACATAGCGATGTCTTAATGAGTAACACCACAATCCAACTGACCACATAAGGCTCTTCTTGTCAAACATACATATCATAGGGACCAGGAGCTTCCCACGACGTATTATAATATTTTCCAATCACGTCTGTTTATATCCAAGGAAAAAAAAATAACAACGTAGCATCTGTCTTTGAAAATGTGTTTGAAAAAATCCTAAATGCTCTAGTCTTAACCAGAGACATCTAGTCAACTATTCTACGAGAGCACCTCCAGTTGAATCTACTTCCTTCTGTTTACTTTGCTCACCTCTCAAACGCACCGCACTATGGAATTAAATCCCCAATTTTCTGCCACTAAATCTTCTATTCAGCTTATAATTACATGTAATATGTTTGATAGCCGAGTATCAGCAAAATATACAAAAATGATTTAAGAGCAATCGCAAACAATGGAATAATCTATTTATTTTTTTAAATAATTAAAATTGTTGTAATTAACACATCAACAATTATAACCCTTGAGACATGAGCTAATTATTATTTGGCGTTCAATGGCTGTATAAACAGGTTGTTTCAAAGAATTAAAAATCAATAGATTTTGATCTAAAATAAAACACACAGCCCAATAGCTCGGTGGCTTGTTAAAATAGGGACCACATGGGGTATTGCAATATGCCACGGACAATTTACATTTTGGCCCGCCATCTTTTCTAAACAATAAAATTAAGGGGGAAGGCTCCGGTAAAAAAAAAATTTTTAATACTCGTTAAAAAACAGTTATTTCTGTACAGCTTTATTAAGATACATCCGCATATGCATTTCTACTAAAAAAAACACTTAATTTTGGGGGATTTTGGGGCATTAAAACTAGTGTTTTTAATGGACCCACAATTTGAAAATTCATAAAAAATTAGTTTGAAGATATGCACTTAAAATGTTTAGCTGAGTGCCCCAAAATATGGAAGAAGAATATGAATTGATTGTTTATTGGGCTTAGAATGTAATATTTATGAATGGTGGAAAACCTACAAAGGGGTTAATTTTTCAAGATGCCGCCGTTGTCATAGTAACCAAGATTTTTCCGACAAATTTTTAAAGTGGAAATGCATATGCGGTTGTATCTTAATAAAGCTGTAAAGAAATAACTGTTTTTAACGAGTATTAAAAAAATGCCTTCCCCCTTAACCGTAATCATATGGTAATACTAGAGTTAAGGATTATATATAGTGCTAGCATGAGGGTTTCGGATCAAGTAAGCAATGAAGTAATAGGTATTGTTGGGTTTAGTTAAGAGTTCGCGTTTAGGTTAGGCCAATGGCTAAGAATAGTTTAGGAATTAGATTTAGGTATTCAATGCTTTTATTAGCTGTAGAACTGTATAGAATGTTTAGGAAAAGCATGAAATGTTTGTTTCTAAAGAGATCTATTATTTTTCCGATTGAAAAGTTTAACGCTTTATAAAGCTGAGTTTTTTTCGGTTAAAATTTTTTTTAGGTCTATTTTTTTAATCAATTTTCAATATGCGATTGACAGATATTTAACTTTGAGAATATGAAGAAATTTGTTATTTTCATTCATTATAGTATTTACTGATGAGGCCAGAACCACCCAGAATATATGTATGTAGGTAAAAAAAGACAAAGATAAGTTTTAAAAAAATATTAATAAAGATAATGGGGGTTTAAACTCAACAATCAAACAGTTTGGGTATTTAATAAATTATTAAAGTTTTTTATTTATTCAAATGTAGATGTTTTGGTAGTTATTGTTCATAATAGTGTGCGAATATTAAATTTGATAGCAGGAAGTTACCACTAAGACAACCACACCCGCCCTGCTAGTCTACACATTACTCGACATCCTTATAACCCTCGAGTAGTGTCGGCGTAGTGTGCTATTAGTTCTGTATACCCGATTACTGTTTCCAACGGGAAACTGGATTGTCCAGTTTTTTGTTTCACCTATCCAACCGTACGACAGCAGTGTAAAATAAATTTGGCCATGTGTTATTCTACTATGACTCTAAATTATAATAGACCATAATAATTGGGTGATTGCACATTGGAAATTCAAAGCACTAAGCCTGGGCCCTAAGTTGAAAACCGCCAGATGTTTGTGCTATTAAAGAGATCTTTAAAATAGACAATGTTAATTTTTTTTCTCTATAGATATCAAGTTCCAGACGATTTCAAATATCACAAAACATGTTTCCTTTGTTCTGGAGAAAATTAAGCCTCTGCATTTGGTGTAAGTTTTTTTTTTATTTCATTTAATGGAAACTAAAGGTTTTTCTTAATTTCCTACTAAGTTTGCCATCATCATCAAAAGCTTGTTTTTTTTCAACAGCGTGTGTTATACTCTTCACACTAACAAAGTCCGTCCAATTTAAAATACAGACATGTAGAGTTTTTAAAGTTTATATCTTTTAACCACAGGTTGTACACAAATCCAGGGACAAGACTTCACATCATTCAGAATAGACAACAGAACGTATAAACTATCAAGCTTATCTTTTAGCTATCCTTCAAATGTGTGTTCCTCAGTAGGATCAAGAGTTGCCATCTTTGACACAAACAAAGAATATTTCAAAGTGCAGGAGTATTTATTACAAACGGTCTTGTCCTATAAAGTACTGGTGCAGACGTTGATCAACTCAACAGGGCACTTTTGGAAACTAGAGCCCATCTCAAATTCAGTTTGGGTGAAGGGAAGTCTTATGTACTTGTGTGAGTATATCGCGAAAAATAACTGCTTTGTTATACTAACAGAGAATGGGTTAATGAACATACCATTTATTTTTTCTAATTACAACGTGCTGTGTCGAGCTACTTGTAAAGATGGATTTATTAGTGTAGGGTCGGACTGTCTTGATGTAGACGAGTGTCTGAGTTCTCCTTGTCAACAGGAATGCTACAATACAGATGGTTCTTATAAATGTGGATGCAATGATGGGTACCAACCTGGGGCATATATGACGACTTGCGAGGACATAGACGAGTGTCAAACTACAACACACAACTGCTCACAGTTATGTAACAACACTGTAGGTGGTTACACCTGTAGCTGCCATCAAGGTTATGAGTTACACAACGACAGCAGATTTCTCTGTGTTGATGTCGACGAATGTGGTTTAGGAACTCACACCTGTGAAATTACTTGTGTCAACACATTAGGTTCTTACACCTGTAGCTGCCCATTAGGTTACCAACTTGACCAAGATGGTAGCTCCTGTGTCAAGACCAGATCACAACCATCTTGTCCCTGCTCCTGTAGGACTCAGACCAGAATCAACATGTCCAGTACTCTAATGGCCGTTCAGAAAGAAATTGACCAGATCAAAAAGAACTTGACCGTTGAGACTCACGACCTGTCGTCCTACATACGGAGCAAGACTTCCGCAACAGACGACAGAATGACGTCAGAGACAGTCGGTTTATTTGGCGCCATTTTGATAGTTGTTAACATTGGAGTTGTCGTAATTCCTGATGTCATCATCACACTCATAAAGTTGCTGTTTTCAAAGCTGCGGCCTATATTTAGTAAAAACGTGGTTGATGTTCTTTAAAAACATGAAGTTTTGCTCACATGACTTTGGTTTAAGGTTGTCTTTCTGTACCGATCTCTGAGTACAGTTTTTTTTTTTATTTACCTTCATATAAATTAATGTCACACTCTTTATGCTGTAATTCTAATTCATAAAGGTTCTTGAATCATAGGAATGTCACAATGTGACACTTTTATGTAATGACACATTAAGCGATATCTGCTTGAAAAGGTAGTGCAAGAATGTTTCATTTTTTTGTTGTGACATTTATCAACGACTATCTTCATTGAAAGTTTTAAAGCTGATTACTTTTTTCTCTAAACATTACATGTTAAAGGATGTAATATAGTGAGACTTGTGAAGTCAAGGGAACTCACTCTTCTTGTATTAGTATTATATTTATATTGTTATCTTGAGTGATGTCCCTTACATATATATAAATAGTTGTCTCTCGTCACTTCCGCCCTCTCTCTCTCTTTCCTCATGGTGTGAATAAAGTACTGTTAACAATCATTGTGGCTTCTCGTCAGTGTTTCCAATCTATTACATTGGCGACGAGGATAAATAATCCACTAGAAAGAGCACCTACTTACGCAAAAAAGAGGTTTGCTAGAGCATATTGGCTAAGTATTTCTAGGATAATGGCGCTGTATGGCCAAATAAAAGAATTTGATTCGAATGATGAAATCATTCATGATTACCTAGATAGGTTAAGCTTTTACCTTGAAGCTAACGACGTGACGATAGAAGCCAAAAAGAGAGCTGTTTTGTTAACAGTCATAGGCCTCAACAATTTAGGCTACTAAAGGACTTATGCGCACCAGCTAGTCTAACTACCAAGAGCTTTAACGAGCTGAGCAAATTGCTAACAGATCACCATGCGCCTGTACCATCAAAGTTTCTATGTAGAGCTAGATTTGACGGTAGGACTCGTCAACCAAACGAGTCAATATCAGAATATGTTGCTGCTTTACGTCATTTAAGTGAATTTTGTGAATTCGGAGACACGCTGTCTGACAGACTATGTGAAAAGTTTGTGACAGGTGTAAACAGCCCTGATGTTCAAAGAAAGTTGCTGCTCGAGACAGATCTAACATTGGAAAAAGCAATACAACTAGCAACTTCATTCCAGCAGTCATCCGATGCGGCGAGATCTCTAGCACCTTCAGAGATCCATGCAGTAAACAGCAGGTTAGTCAACAAACACCAACCCCATCAGAGCATTCCAACTTATGCTAAACAGCCTGCACGTTTAAAGCCTAGATCTAAATCTAGTAATAATTATCAAAAATGTCATCGATGCAAAGGTCCCCATGCATCTCATCGGTGCAAGTTCAAGTCTGCAACTTGTTATAAGTGCAGTAAGCAAGGTCACATTGCCAAGGCCTGCTTTGCAAAGTCTTCGACTGTTACTAAATCTAGCCAGTCAAGACAGTACCGCAACCAAAGGCAGTACTATGTTAACTCTCACCAAGACTACCTAACCCAACCAATGAACCACTCTACCTGTGAAAATGCTCAAACTGATTCGCAGCCGGATTTCAACCTATTCTCTGTGAAATCAATAAGTCATGCTCCCATCAATGTACTAGTTAATATCAACGGTAAGAGCATCAGCTTCCAACTTGACACTGGAGCATCTCTAACAGTCATCACAAAGAAGGACTTTGACGCTGTCACAGGAGGATCAGTGCCTCTACAACCATGTCACAAGTGTCTAACAACATACACTGGTGACAATTTCCGGTAATAGGAGAGTGTATGGTTCATGTAAGTTATAATGGTCAAAGTGTTAAACTTCCTCTTCTTGTGGTTGAAGGAAATGGACCACCATTACTAGGTAGGAACTGGTTAGTTGATCTTAAGTTAAATTGGGAGAGTATATTTTCATTGATCAAAACAGGAGAATCTAGTCTTACTTCAATAGATAAAGTTATATCTGAAAATAAATGTGTTTTTGGTAATCCTGGATTACTAAATGATAGAACAGTGAAGATAAGCATTAAAGACACAAATCCAAGATACTGCAAAGCTAGAATTCCACCTTATGCAATGAGGAATAAAATTGAAAATGAGCTAAGTAGATTGGAATCTAATGGCATCATAAAGAAGGTAGACTATTCCGATTGGGCAACGCCCATTGTGCCAGTGTTAAAGAAGGATGGTTCTATAAGAATTTGTGGAGTCTATAAAGCTACACTGAATAAGCAAATAGAGCTAAATAGGTATCCTATTCCTAATATTGAGAAAATTTCTTTGAATTTGGCAGGAGGAGACAAATTCACTGAATTAGACTTTAGTCATGCTTACACTCAACTAGAACTGCATCCAGATTCAAAAGTCTATACGACAATAAACACACATAAAGGACTCTACCAATATGAAAGACTATGTTTTGGCATATCATCTAGCCCTGGAATTTTCCAGGCTGTCATGGACAGTATTTTTAAGGATATTCCAAATGTTTGTGTTTACTTTGACAATGTGTACATAACTGGTAAGAATGACACTGAACATCTTAAAACACTAGATAAAGTCTTGAAAATAGTTGGTGAAAAAGGTTTAAAGATAAACAAAGATAAATGTCAATTCATGCTGACAGAAATTAGTTTTCTTGGTTATATATTAAGCAAGCAAGGTATCAGACCTCAACCTGAGAAAACAAAAGCCATTAAAGAAGCACCCAAACCTGAAAATACCCAACAACTAAGAGCTTTTTTGGGCTTGATAAATTACTATGCAAAGTTCATAGGGAATCTGTCTGGTAAACTATCACCACTGTACAAGCTGCTACAGAAAAATGCAACTTGGCACTGGGGTAAACAACAAGATACTGCTTTTAATACAGCAAAAGAGGCTTTGTCTTCTGACACCTTACTAACTCACTATGACCCAGGGAAAAGACTTATATTAACATGTGATGCTTCACCAGATGGTGTAGGAGCAGTCTTGTCCCACATGGATGAAAAGGGTGACAGACCCATTGCTTTTGCCAGTCGATCTTTGAACCAGGCTGAGAAAAATTATTCTCAGTTAGATAGGGAAGGCTTAGGCATCATTTTTGGTGTTAAGAAATTTCATAAGTTTCTGTTTGGTAGGAAGTTCACCATCTTTACAGATCATAAACCATTGCTAGGTTTATTTGGAGAAAACAAAACCCTACCTGAGCATGCCTCACCAAGAATTCAAAGAATTATGAAAACAATTATGAATTGAGATACAAACCTGGATCTGAGAATAGTGCAGATAGTCTTAGTAGATTACCTTTAAAAAACCAAAGCCTTAGCTATGTACCAGAAGATGTATTTGTTCTCTTCACTATCATGGATAACTCCAATATAAATGTGAATGATATTAAAAGAGAAACACAAAAAGATGAGTGCTTAATAAAAGTATATGAGTACTGTAAGAATGGTTGGCCTGAAGAGTCTGTGAATGATGACTTAAGGCCATATAAAATAAGAAATAAAAAACTTTGTGAAGATAATATAAAAGATGGAGAAGATGCAGTCCATTTTCAGTCAGAGTTACCTAAACAAAGTATTTGTAACTTAATAAATGATTATGGTGATATGTCAATTTCAAATGCTTTTAAAGAGAATACATTAGTAAGAAAGAATGTGATCATCAAACAACTTTCCTAACATCATTAGCACTTACAGAAACTAAAAGGGTAACATCAAAAGAAAAAAAGATTTTTGCCATTTAATACACCCACTTCAAATACTGGATCACAGTTGCAAAGTGATATGGTCCAGGATAGTACTTTTATACAGTATTTTTGGTCACCAAAAAGCACTATCAGATTACATGAGAAAATTGATCAATCAAAGAAATCTATGTCAGTTAAGGATCTGAATAATAGCATAATACTTTCAGATGCCAATTCAAAAATAGTTCCATTAAATCATGACAAATCATCCATTGAAAGAGAATTTGCAGTTAATGATAATGTGTATCTAAGAAATTATGGGAGAAGGGAAAAATGGATACCAGGTCAAATTGTTCAATGTACAGGACCTGTGTCTTATAAAGTAAAAACAAATGATGGACTTATTGTCCGTAGACATGCAGACCAGTTAAAAATAACTTGTGCAGATAATAAGTGTGAATCTGTCAATCCCACCAAATCTGAACAGTTCACACCAACTCAGTTTGTTCCACAACCGAGTTCTGTTGATATGAGTGAACCAAGTAGTCTGGAGTCAGAAAATGTAAATTCTGGAGTTAATGATTTAAATCCTAGACCTCCTGAGATAGAGAATCCATATGGTCAGAATCTTGGGTCACCAAATCAAAAGCCACTGAAAAGGTCAAGCAGGACAATCAAAGTCCCAACTAAGTTAGAACTATGATTTTAAAGGTCAAAAGGACTTTGACATCATTGTTTTGTATTTTAATTATGTTGTAACATATTGTGCATTGTTTGTAAGGATGTAATCTACCATAGTGTTCATGTTACAATATAATTGGTGATTTTAGGATACTGTAAATTGTTCTATTGAGAGATGTGTTGTGTTTACTAAGGGTAAAGGGATGTAATATAGTGAGACTTGTGAAGTCAAGGGAACTCACTCTTCTTGTATTAGTATTATATTTATATTGTTATCTTGAGTGATGTCCCTTACATATATATAAATAGTTGTCTCTCGTCACTTCCGCCCTCTCTCTCTTTCCTCATGGTGTGAATAAAGTACTGTTAACAATCAATGTGGCTTCTCGTCAGTGTTTCCAATCTATTACAAAGGACTTGTAATTTTAACAATAAAATGGTGTGAGGAATATACATAGACATGGGCCGACTATCCACGCAGCGCCTCCGACCGACCATCCAGGTGACGCCTTAGACCGACCATCTAGATGGGGCCTGAAACGGACCATCCATGCAAGCTGGAGCCAGATCTTCATGTATACATCTGATTCATCTAAGACACATTGTACTATATAACCTGGTACACATTTCTCCTTTTAATTATCTATCGATTTGTCTTTACTGTATTGATGTGTGTACTTGAACCAAT